CGTAACTAGTTTGTTTAGGGATGCTGAGTCAAGAAGAGAGAAGCTGGAGAGACGGGAACCAGAGAAGTTGGATGAGGAGGTATGGAAATGATATCCGTAGTGGAGAGAATGTGATGCCGGATGTTGTCAGTCTTAGAACTAAAGAAATCTAAGAATGTGTTGCAAAGTTGTGATGAGGCAGGTAATGTGGTAGGGCAGTTTGGCTTGAGCAGTCTCCACTTACACCACCTACGCTCAAGTTTGCGAGAGGCTGCCTTCATGAATCGCAGATGGTCATTGTACCAGGGGGCAGGGCGAGAGAAGGAGATGGTTCTAGTTTTTAAAGGAGCAAAGGTGTCGAGGGTAGATAAAAGAGCATTGTCAAGTAACTGTATTTTGTCCTCTAGAGGGTCAGAGAAAGAGAAACAGGATAAGGAGGACAGAACATAATTTGCAAACCTTGGGTGATCAATTGGTTGCCAGTTGCAGAAATTTACAGAGCGTGGGGAGGAGGTGTTAGAAACGGGTAATTCCAGATTAAAGAGAATGGCTAAGTGGTCCAGGAGGCCTAGATCAAGGGGAGAGCAGTGGGAGACAAAGGAGTCATTTGCAATAATTAGATCTAAGGTGTGTCCTTTATGTGTAGGGGTACAAACAAACTGAGTAAGGTCAAAGCATACCAAAAGAGAAAGGAAGTCTTTAGCCAGACTGGAAGAGGTTGAATCAATGTGTATATTAAAGTCCCCTAGAATAAGGATCCTTTTAAACTTAAGGGATAAGAATGAGACAAAAAATCAGCAAGCTCACCTAAGAAGACTCTACTGGGTTTGGGTGGTCTGTAAACTGTGGCAATAATAGTAGATTGGGGGATAGAAACATTTAAAACAAGACACTCAAAAGAAGAGGGAGGAGGTATAGTTATAGGACTTAGACTGTAAAAAAGGTTGTAAATAACAATGATGCCCCTGCCTCTGCCTGAAAGACGCGGAAGGTCAAACAAACCATATCCAGGAGGAACTAGTTGGTTGAACAGGAGTCCATCGTTTTGTTTATGCCATGTTTCGGGTTAAACACAGAAGGTCCAGTTGTTTTTCTTTGATAATGTCACATAAAAGAAGAGCCTTGCAGTTAATGGAGCGGGTGTTGGGTAGCGCTGATCTGGCCAGTCTCGGGGATGCAGGGGGAAGCGGAGTGCGGTCTAGGTCCGGTAGCGAGAAGAGATTTTTTAGATCGGCGCTGGTACGTGATGGACTTACAGATGTGCGCCGAAAGGCAGGGATAGAGACTCCGCAGGCAGACGAATGGAAAAAAAAACGGCGTCCTGTGCTGCGATGGATGTAGCGAGTCGGTCGTAAAATCCCAGTAAAACGGCAGTAATCTAATGTGTCTTTAACCAGGAAGTAGCTTTGTTTTAGTTGAAGAAGTTGCAGTGCAGTGTACCTCAGAGACATGATCGATGAATCGAAGACGAGAAGGCGGTAGCAAGTGGTGAAGGTCTTCAGTTGAGTAAATTCACGATGCAGTGGAAGTCGCATTTGTGAATTTGTAACGTGGAGCGGATAGCGTGAAGCGGATGAAAATAGGTAAACTAGAAATCAGTGTAATCGAGGAGAAAAAGGAAAAAAAACATAAGTAGATAAAAATGAAAAACTGGTGAGACCCTTTAGACCCTTTGGTCAGGCAAATCTAATGTAGGTGCACAAAATTATCTTAATGAACCACACAGCTGAGTGGCTTTTGTCGGTGTGCAATAATACTGTCCTGTGTGATTTCACAATAAATACACCTGTTTCTATAAGGTCTTTTATTCAAGTTATGAATTTCAAGCAAAGATTAAACTATAAAGACCAAGGAGGTTTGAAAACATCTATAAAGTTGTGGAAAAGCACCTATCAAATGAAAGCTATACAAAATTCAAGTGCACTGAATATCCATTTTAGCACTATGAAGTTGGTCATTAAGAAGTTATTTATGGTGCTGGAATAATAAATCTGAACATCTGCACAGTGCATCACTCAGCTATCTTCATACCTGCAATCAAGCAGGGAGCAGGAAACTTGTCAAGACTGATGGGAACATAGATGAAACAAACTAATGAAGAATCTTAGACCTCATTTAGACCTAAAACAGGGGCAGAAATTCACCTGGATAATGATCCATAGCTTCATTGGAGTGGCTTACAAAAGAAAGTGACTGTCCTTGTGCAGGCCAGTCACCGTCCTGACTCAAATCCTATTGAGAATCTGTAGCAAGATTTGAAAACTGCTGTTCATAAGTCTTCTTGACTGCTGTCAAGAAGAATCACAAAAGTGGCAGTGGCAGAGACTTAACCCAAAAAGACTTGAAGTTGTTATTGTTGTCAAAAGTTTTAGTTCACGTTTGAATATATGCGCAATCAACATTGTTTTTTTTCTATTTTTGTGACTTACTGTTAGAATATTTAATTGTGAACATTAAGTTTTTTAATAAAATACTGAGTTTAAAAACAGGATGTATAACAATTTTACCAATTGGGACGCTATAGGAAGGGTCTGAATAGTTTTCTAAGGCACTATAAACCCTGGCAAATCTTTTCATCTGCTTTTTTAGTCTGTGAAAGGAATTTTGTACACTAGACATTTACAAGGGATGTGTATCAATTACGGATTTAAATGTCTAAAAAAAACATCTGTGTAAAAGCTAAATTAAATGCCACTTTTCTTTCTTGGACACAATGATTAAGATGATGTTTTTTAAATTGTGTGCTTTGAACCAGAGCAATTTTAAAATATTCATACATAATAAAAAGCTTTGCTTTACAATGATAAAAGACTTAAGTAGATAACTCAAAGGTGAAGTAATTAACCTGGTTAAAAATAAAACAAGTTTCTATAGTACATAGTAGTTCAAGTACAGTAGGTAGCTGCATCAGCATTCATAGGCTGCAAAGGAACAGGTAACGGGTTTGTTCCATGCTGAAAAGAAAGGAAACGCCACATTTAGGCCATGGAGCCTTCTCAGACCTGAAGAAGGCTCCACGGCCGAAATGTTGTTTCCTTTCAGCATGGAATAAACCCGTTATCTGTTCCACAGTAGATTATAGTCTGTTATACAAACCACGAGTCACAGAGGCACAAAATGCAGCATACAAAACATGATTCTGGATATTTTATTTACTTGACTACTCGCTTACAAATAAGTTCACAATTGTCTCTCGTTTTTGTGAACTGTCCGAGAACTCTGTAAACTAGGTTTTGGTATTGTACGGGTATAAAGAAAAAGATCAATGAAATGAGAATGCCCTTTAGGCCAACTTTTCCTGTGACTTTCCACATGTTTGAAATCAATTCTTATTATTTTATTAATAATCGATATACATGATAGTATAAAATGTTAACTGTTACTTTATTCAAGGCTCTTCCAGCTACGTTGTCTGGGGATAATAACATTCAGAAGAAAAGTCCAAATAAGTGCATTAAAAGAATGGAGTTAAATTTGGGTAAGAACTGCATTTAAATATTTCTGCAGTGATCTAGCCCACTTATTAATATATTTCATGAAGAAACTTTTGTGAATTCTCTTATTAAAATGGAATATCAATTTAATGTTTTATGTCCAGTTCAACCCCTTAAAGTGCATTAGATCATTTTTTTAAGTTTAAAAAATATTTTAATGTAGCACCAGCTTATTTGGGGTTTACATTTGCTATGCAGTTAAGGATGCAACCTGCAATAAAATACTTTGTCACATTGTATTACTTTACTGATTGTACAAAATGTCCTTTCGATTTTGTATTACATGATGCTTTGATGGGGGGGTGGGTCTAACCTGTCACTGATCACTTACAGTATACAGTACCATAATGTTCATATTTTATTTTTCTATTTACCTCATGTGTGGTAGGCTTTCTTTGTATTGTTTTATCTTTGCACTTATTTTTTCACCACCAATCGAATGAGATCTGCTACTTTAGTGTGAAATATCCATAGGCATATAAGCCATTTGAAAATCAGTAATGTAGCATATGAAGTTCTAAATTTGTATGTAGCATAGAAAATCCAAGCAGTGCCATATACTTACATTTAGTGCAGATCCTATTTATAACAAATTAGTAAAGTGTTTAAAATTCTTTGCTAACTGAAATAAATAGATTTCTTGCTTTTAATTACTTGCTACATCAGCATTCTTGTTTCACTAGTAATAGAGGATTGTCACACTTAGGACATTTAATCTTGCACGCTTGTGCTAACTTTGCTACAGAATATGTACTGTGGTATTCATGTCCCTGACATTCAAATTCAAATATGCTGTACATTAGTTCTCCACTAGACAGTATAGTGCAACATGCATGCACTTTTACCAGAATTTTAATTGAAACAGTTTCATTGGATGGAATTTACTGCTATATGTGGCAGACATGTAATTATGATTAATAATTTTCATTATTGAATGTAGTGCTTTTAAAATTAATTGATTATAAATGAGGAATATAATTTTTACATTTGGTATTGACCAGAGTGTAAACATGCTTTATATCCAGATAATCCAGGTGTCAGTAAGAAAGAGAAAGCTTGGAAGAATTTTCAACCTAAAATTGTACCGATGATTACAAAACACAAGTAAGTATTTTATGCCATACGTACTATATAAAGATTCCCTTTACAGTCAAAGCAGCCAGTAAATAAATAAAAAGTCTCCCAAGTGTCAAGTGTTACTGTAGTAGACAAATGCTGAGTATGTTTGTTTCTCATTTTATGCCACTCTAGTAATTTTCTCCAGTTTCTGTTTTAATCCTCTTTCACACTCATTCTCTAGCTTTGTGTGTCTGATTTATCCAATCTACCTCTTTAGTCTTGAACGGTTTTTCAATTCCTGAAAAAAATTGAAAAAAGTCAGCCAGGAACACTACTTCAGAGTCTAAATACCCAGGTGAAAATGAATTGGGAACCGATTTAAGACTGTAAAAAGGATTGCACAAAGTGCTGTGGAGGTTTTGTACAAAATATCCAATCATTATTGGAAGCAGATTCCCTGGGAGTCTTCGAAATGATTTGGATGTGATCCTTAGATTACTCAGGAATTATCCTCTTAATGTGCAATATAAATGGAATGGTTTCCATTCATTAGTAACGTTTATGTTCTTATTTACTTTTTCTGTCTTGCACCAAGGTGTCTCCTCTTTTCTGTTGCAGTGGTGCAGCCTTATGCACATACAGTGCAGAAAAGTCAAAAGGCAGGAATCCATGGAGACCCCTTCAGCTTTTGCCCTCTCCGCTGCATCTTAACCACACGATGATGTCTTCTGCTGCGGCCCCCAGCCGAAGCCACAGGCCCAGCCTAGCAGTGGAAGAGGTGTGCCAAGAGGATTGCTTCTTTCTTCTGTGTTAGGTAGCAGTGAGTGGGAGCAGCTTGTTTGAGCTTTCCTGAGGTACATTACCTGGGCAGAATGAAAGAGAGCATTGTAAAAGGAATGAACAACTTTACCAAGTAGTAATAAAGCTTCCTCATGTTGAAAAGACAGGTTGTAAACATTTACTATGTTCAAGTACTGAAACTTTTGTTGGAAGACCTGATTGCCAAGGCTCTAAACATGTCCAGTCAGGTAATGTATGTGGTGTGACAGTGCAGTTGTTTTTTTGGACTACTAACAGGCGCGAATATATGATTAACCACGTTCTCTTTTTTAGGCTCTTAAAGAAAATGACAAAAAACATTACAGAGTGTTAGTAGAGATGGTATCCAGCAAATACACAAAGAACCACCCATTGCCTTTCAGCAGGGCCAAGCAGTACATGTAAGTATTCCATTGTTCTGAAGGTTTTATTTATTCATTCATCCAAGAACAAATGAGTTAGTGATCATCTGAATGGCATAAGAGCTGCATAGAGTTATTTATGCATATGTCCAAAACTAATCTTATATACTTTAATTTTATTTCTCTGATAAAAACAATTGAGAGATTTATTGACTTTGAATCAGACCAACCAAAGAGTTGTTGTTGAGCAAATAGGTTTTGCAGCTTTCACCAAAACAATTGTACACGTAGATGTGTGCTTTTAAAACTATTTAAATACACGTAATATGTCAATGTGTGGCCTAGAAATTTTTAGATATGAATCACTTGGTTGAGCTAAGTGTGCAACACATAAAACTCAGCAAGTTTATGTTACTTTGAATATTAAGTTGTGCTCTTGTTTTACAGACCTCTAAGATATAAAAAAATAAGAATATAAGAAATATCAGCAAAAGAGAGGAGGCTGTTTTGCCCATCTTGCATGTTTGTTAGTTTAGTAGTAAGTGAATCCAACATTTTGTTTCTTAAGTCTAATGCTTAGTTGTGCCATTGCTTTGAGGAATTAAAGCCTATCAACAGCCAGGCTTCTCAATCTTGCATTTTGAAAGACTTTTCCTGGAAGTAGGGCAGCATGCACAGTCTTGGATTAGATGACAAGGGCAAGTATTTAAAACCTTGTTTGACTTGCCATGAAAAAGATGGCTGAGATTTATAACTCCTAACATCAAAGGTAATCAAAGTAAAACATTTTTACTTTACAAATACGTGGAGCTAAATAGCTTTTAAGGGTGACAATAATTGCTGCAATATCTACATCAATCGCCTCTTCAAACTCTAAAAACCTTACAATAGAAGTTATCCCCCTTCCATCATCCATCATTGCTGCTGCATTATGCTGGTTGACGGCCACCGTAGCACACCTGATATACACATGGATGTGTAGGATTTCCTGTGATGTGCATATAGATAACTACATTCATTTTTCTTTCATATACTAGTCAAATACCAGAACAACCAGTGTCGTCCCTGCGTCACACCTACAATACGTAATTCCTTGCACCATGGGTATTCAAAGCATTTTAATATACTGTAGGTGATGTTCCACTGTTCCAATTAGGTAATCTTGGACCTTATTCAATATACCAGAAAAAAAACATCAAGTTTTCCAGATGTCGCTTGAGTAAATGACAAACCCCACTGACTAATGGAGTTGGCAGAATGTTTACTAAAACTGAAAGAAAGCTTTTCAGAGAAGTTGCAGTGGAGCATTCTAGGGGAGACATGTAATGCATGCTGTGCAATTTTTAAAAATATTTAGTATTTGTAAACCTGCATGTGTGAAATTGACACCTGTTTGTTTTGGTGTCAAGACATGTTGCATCTGATTGTTGAACATTGTGGTGCTAATTGCATTGAACCCATCATTTGGCAGCACTCTGGAAAATGTAGCTGAGCCATGCATTTTTAATAACATCATAATATCTTTCAAAGAGATGTACTGTAAAACACACCAATATTAAGTTTGCTAAAGCTAATTCAATTTTCCATATTTTTTTCTCGTTAGATCAATTCCCAAGTGTCTAGATCAAAAAGGTGTAATATTATGCTAAGCTTTGAGGAACTGCATTTAGATCATTTTTATACTATTAGAGAAGCACGCCCGACTCACCCGAAGAAGGCTCCACAGCTGAAACGTTGTTTCCTTTCTTCTTTTTTCAGCATGGAATAAACCTTTACTTGTTCCTATGCATGCTGATACAGCTACCTACTTGAACTAAATTTTCTAAATATTTTTACAAAGAAAGAATGTAAATGTTTTTAAAGTTATTTACACTTCATTAGTGTGTGAAATTTGTTTTGGCTTGGTGTCCGATAGTACAGACTAGGTCCTCTGGAATCTGTGGCCAGTACATGCAGTATTGTCATGCCTTTCCTGACCTTAATGTCATTCCCTAAGTATAGATTGGTGAATCACACATACACGATTGACATTTGTAGGATTCCAGATCTGAGCTGCCCATTTATAATAAGAAGTCATGTTTGTCAACCTGTTCACTAACTGTAAACATAGCCACATGTGATTTAAGTTGGTCAACCTACACATCTGCGTTTGTCATGTTCAGTGGGCCTTTGATTACTCTGCTGAATCAAAATTTAAATTACATTATGCACCTATGGGAAATCAGTGATTATTAGATTATTGCTTTGCTGAAAGGCTTAAAGCTTGAGTTGGAACACAGTTTATCAGTGGTTCTCAAACTGGTATGGATACCAGGAGTGGTACGCGGAGCGCCACCAGCTGATACGCCATATGACCCTGGAACTTTGTTGTGTGCACTGAAAAATCGGGAGGGGTTTTCATATTTTCTATTTTAATGCATGTCGAATACGCAGCCTACATACTACGATACAGCGCGCGCTAATACTTGATTGGACACAGAGCTACAATGTAATTCTCTACCACTCTATAGGAATGCACGCTATGAACGTAAGTGACCAATTGTATTTTAAAAAACTTATCTCCAGCAAATAGAGAGGTAGGAGTAATGTGTGTGATTTTGGAACAATGCCAATGTTGTAAACATAGGAATGCATAGAAATGCGTGCTAGGAATGCTGGTAATCTTGTGAGCACAGGAAAGCGTGGTGAATAACTGAAAAATATTTAAGAACTGTTCTAGGTTAATTTGTGAAAAATACACCGAGCGTCTCTTGTGTTTCGCTCCCATGCGCATGAAATAAAAACTTTTTAACTTATGAGACAGATTTCTGAAATGGAAACGGGGAAAAATGCAAGCTTGCATTTTGCTAAAGCAGGTAAGCTCCACACTGTTTTTGAAGAACCTTATTTACTGTTGGCAAAAAAGCTGACACATATTGTGTGGAGAAAAAGCTGCTAAACAGCTCGTCTTGCTGCCCCTTCTGAAAGACACAGTTACTCATAGAATTATTGAAATGGCGGATGATATCAAAAGTACGCTGGTAGAGCGTGTTAAGATGAGCAGATGCTTTTCACTGCAATTAGATGAGTCTGTGGTCGATTTGGCCAATTTGTTCGTTTACGTTAGATATGAGTTTGAGGGCATGTCCCATGAGGACTTTCTATTCTGTAAGCCGCTACCAACAGGAACTACAGGAGAGCACTTATTTCACCTTCTGAATGAATTTATCGAAGAGAATGGCATCAACTGGATAAAATGCGTCGGAGTTTGTACAGACGGTGATAGAGGAATGACAAGCCGACACAGTGGTGTAGTTGCACGAATTAGAGAGGTTGCTGCGGATATGAATGGATGCATTGCAACATCCACCGCGAGATCTTTGCCATCACGAAAATGCCTGACGATTTAAAATCTGTTAGACTCTGTTGTGAATTGTATCAAGGCTCCAAAAATAAATTCACATCTGCTTTGCTCGACTGAACAGGCTCACCCCTCTCACTGGAATGGTGCTTTTTTATTGTTTATATTTTTTGTTTCTTGTTTTTATATCATTCTCTCAAGTTTATATTGTGAAAAGGTCATTGAAAAAGTGATAGTACTAGGACTGGTACTGACACTACTTTTTTGATAATTTAATTTGAAATATAAAGTGAATTAAATGTGTGTAAGTTAGGTTTAACTAAATTACAGTGTTATGGAGTATATAGGATAAGAGGGGAAAACTACAGTTTATTAGCATCATATCTGCTCAGTTTGTATCGGAGCAGGATGTTGCTCGGGGAAAAAAAGTTCTAATAAATAGTTTTCAGCCAATTGTGTAATCATTTTTACTTTAAAAAATGTTTTTTTGTTTTTTGTAGGACCTCTGATGCTTCAACCAAACTCCCACCGATAGCAGGTAAAGCTTAATCAGTCTAATTGTGAATTAGAGAGATAAGAATAGTTATTTATGTAAAGAGTCCCCCAAGCATGAGAGAGACCCTAAAGGAAAATATTTTATACTTTTGAAAATAGATATTTGGATAGATTATTCTTCAAACAGCTGGTCTTTTTCCAAAAAAGTAAGAGCATTAGTGGCTTTTAATGCAGCCCATAAGCATTTATGTCATTTCCCTGCAGCTAGCCCCTGTACTCCATTGTGGACAGATGGATGCTTGACAAGAGGTGGTCAAGAAGGGTAAGATTTTTCTTGTCTGGTTCATTTCAGAAACATATTTCCTGAAATCGTTTTTTTAACTGAAGTCTCCCGTTCTCCTGAATTTATCTTGTGATTTAAAATTGAACAACAACCATTCTTGTGTGCAAAAACTGCCAAGTTATACAGTACATGGAGAAAAGTGAAGATGATGCCAATTACAAAAAATACCAAGTTATAAAAAATCATTATTTAATGAATGTATTAAACTTTCTAGTTAAACAGGATCAGTTTTGGGTTGTCTTGTTCTATTTTCCTATAAATTACAGACTTTGAATGTCTATAAGTGATCACAAGGTTTGTAATCAACAGGAACCAGATTAGCCTGAAATGCCCTAAATAATCTCCCTGTAAATAACAAATCATTTTTTCCCCTATTGTTTTAGACTGGTATCACATATGTATACTAATCCCTATGCCTACATTTGTATTTCTACATGGGGGAATGGTTTTGATAAAAGAATATTACATTCACAGAAGTAGTGGTTTTAAGTGTTTCATTATAAAAGTGAAACTTTGAAAAATTGTAATCTCGTTTAATCTCCCAAGGATGTTTAATGTGTAACTGTCTTCAACTTTGACGGCACTGTTTGACTGTACAGCTTTTTAATAGATTACTTTTGAATCACCTGTGGTGATCATGGGATCTCTGTGTCGAAAGATGAAGAAAGAACAAGTTTAGATATAACAGTATATTATGAGGGACATGGTTTAAAAGGAGAAAAGGTAAAGACACTCACTTGAAGTACTGTTTGGCTCAGACATTTTGCATTTGAGCCAGAGCCATTTTTAACCACCTGTTAACGGCAGTTCCTAAGGGGTGGAAAGCAATTGACCTGATATGTTAAAGATTAGGTGGCCAGTTGTCTCATCAAAATGTTGAAGATAAACGACTCCTGCGTCTTTTCAGGAACATCCAGAGTTGTCGTGACAACTGTGTTAGATGCTGTTCCTCCAGTCAGAAAAGCACTTCTGTTGGGTACTGTGAAGCTTGCGGAATGCCTCAAATAGGTGCATATATGGACTATATGACTTCCCTCATTCTCCCTGTGTAGTGCAGAAGTCAATGCTGTGAGCTGAGACCTTAAGGACAAATTTTGAATCTTAATTCGGTGTGTATGAATTGAAAAATACAAAATGTTAAGAAAGACGTGAAAACAAAATTAATACCTTTGACTGCCTCTCTTGGAAATATGGAATTGCTTTTATATTTGATGAGACAGGTAAGAAAAGCATTTAGACAAATTGTGGACTACCTCATATTTGACCAGAAGAGTGTATACAGAAACCTGCAAAGTTTTTACAGTTTTACCTTGGCTTTAGTCACTGCATAGTAGAGCTTTGGAGTTCAAGAACGATTCAGTCTTTTTTTATTCAGTGTGATTCATTTTTCTGTGATGATTCGTTCATTTGATTTTGTCTCGCAGAGACCAAACGGAGGATGTAGCTAAGTGAATCCACACGGGCAAATAGCTCCAAGTATGTAGAAATTGATTATTTTATGGTTAACTCCAAAACCTGCTGGTTTATTTTTGGAGCTTTCCAGAACCAGGGTTGACAAATCCCCCTGTAGATAAGGGGAATACATTAAAGAAACTGGACATGTTTTTAAATGGCACACTTTTGGTAAACTTTTGTGTTTACAGATGGCTTGAAAGCGGCTTTCACAATTCGTTTAAAGATTATGAAGAAAGAAAAGTGGATAATCTACTGGAAGTAAAAGAAGTGGTAAGGAGTTTGAGTCATTTTGTGCTCCAAATACCTGGTGTGTAAAATACATATTTAGTGGGTTTGTTTTGACTTGATTTAGAGTTTCTGGGGTGAAAGTCACTGTTGACTAATACTTTTACTTTGTGTTCATTTTTGTCACAATATGTATAGGTTGGAAGGCTACAGACGAAGTACAGCGAGAGAATGGACACTTCTGCATCACTGCGAGTCAAGGCCAATCTAGACAATCTTGCACCGGTTTGTAAAACTGTTTTGATCTTGTTTTGAGGTTCAGTGATGGTTCTTGTTACTATGTGGAAAAGGTGTGGCAGTTCTATGCAGGCATACGTATACTATATGGCTAATACAAATTGGGAATTTTGAATGTAATGGCGTGGTGACTTAAAAAATGAAACTAAAAACCTAAAACTGAAAAAACATCAGATTCATTGTTTAGCTGATTAAATATGTTAAAGCTTGATCTACGTATAACACTCCAGATGTTTGTAGTAATCAGTCTGAAATCTATGAGAAGTGTGAATTTTTGTAACATCAGTAAGCTTTTGCAATAAAAGTAAAAAGCTTAAAAGTTAAAAACAGAAGTCATCATTATTTATCTTTTCAGTATTATAGAACTCTAAACTTCTAAAGTTTACGTGGATGTTTAATTTCGGGGGTTGAAAATTGTTGGACCTCTTAGTACCTGAACTAAAATGATCTTTTGCTGCAGGCACATCCGTCTGTAAAGAAGCATCTCAGGTGCCAAAGAATTGGCACAATTGTTACATTCGATGCAACCATTTGGATTAGGTGAAACAAAGAAACGATACTCAAATACCCAAATCAATGATTCAGTGACTCTGTGGAAGAAGAATGAAATACGAACAAATGTAAATAGCGTAAACAACTTGAAAGTGTTGTTTTTTAATGTATAAAATAATGCGTATGAAATGCGTTTCTCTTACAGGCCAACATACACAGTAAATGGCACTGACATTGCTGTAAGCATCACATTTAACACTTAGCTGAACAAAGACATTTAGCAGGTACAAAAAAAATTAAAATGCACAGATCTGGTACTCCTTTAAGGAAGAGTTTTGTTAATCTTGAGATTTTTTTTTAATGCTGTTAATTTTGTGACCTTTGCAATGGTGTTTTCACTGACAGTAAATATTTCAAATCAAATGTTAAAAACTAACATTAGGGTGAAGTGCTGTACACAGTTATTGCTTGCAACCTGCATTAACCTTTTTTTCCAGTGATTTTGTGGTAGGTTTAGAGAAAATACATTCTTGTTTTTTATACTACTGCTAAAGTTGGGACCTGTTAAATGTATTTTGGGATGCATAAGTCATTTGTTCAGTTTGTAATTAAAACAGTATTCCCCCTATATGGTGCACTGGCATAACCGTGGTCCTATAATGTTAGAAAAGTGCAATTAATCTAATTTATCCTTTGTGGTAAAGAAAATAATTCTTATATTTAAGTGTGCTTAAGTACTGGCAGTATAATGTTGTCCTGCTGTCACTAAGATTAATTTGAAAAATTAGAGGATTTGAAAGTTGCTCTTTAGATGAAAATGGATCACAAACATTTGGATAAACTTCATTGCTTGCCCTTGTTTAATTTTTTTTTAAACCACTGTAATGGTTTCCTTTTTGTCAGAAGCAGCCTGTGGACTTGGATCTGTCAGACGAAGTTGCTACCAGGTTGAATTTGATGGACTGTGAATCTGCTGTTTTTATACAACCGGAAGGTGCACGTGCTCATCAAACACTGGAGAATATGAAGGATGCAGAGGAATTCCCTAGGCTGACACGAGTTAGTAAAGATCTTGAACATCCAACCAGTGACTCATAATGCACAGTTATGTACTCCATATAGCTTTGTACTCTGCATTTTTGTGTGTTTTTTTTTAACTTTGTAGCTTCATTGTTTTCTTGGTATCAAAACAGATTTCCTAAAATCTGGCATTTGTGCTATAATTAATATTATTCATGTTCCTTTTGTCCTTAAAGGAAATGAATGAAGACATCATCAAAGCACTGGGTCATGGTGACCCTGATAAGGTGCTCTGCAGTGCTTTCAAACTGAGAATAACCCAGAGAGACCTAAGCACACTGAGAGAACACAACTGGCTAAATGATGAGGTATGCAAGCATGGAGTGGGTAGCTTGTCTAGTTCTATGGTTTTGTATTAAACAGTTGTGTGTGTCATAGCACTGCTTTACAGAAGATTGCTATAGACCAGTACCAAAAAAAAAATTTTCAGGGCTCAATCTGTGTTATTAATATTAATAAGAATTGTTCTGTGAGTTTTCTAAGTTCTGTTTTATAATGTTTGACACTGACAGGTGTCCATTAAAAAGGAAGTTGAATGGGGAAAAAAAAGTTATTGCTCTCCACCTTGGATGTAGTCAGATTGTGCCCAGTAACTCCTATATGATGGAGTGTCCTGTGACAGCATTCATAGTGTGATTATGGGAGTGATGTACTTTGGGAAGGTGATGATGTTTCTAGTTCAAGGTGCCCTAGACTATTTCCCAGTTTACTAAATCACAATAAATGAACAGATTACATGCAAAATTGGGAGAAACATTCTTGTTTACAGGACTTGCTTATTTAGGCTCCCTTTCCTTCTACCCTTCTTTTTACTGTGTATTTAGCATGACTTCTTATATTGTCCTTTAATGTTTGTTGGAAAACTTAACATATCTTCAGAAAAAGAGTTAATTGCGAGATCAGATGCTTTTCCAATTCATGCCCCGTGATCTAGATAGAGCTGTTAAGCCTGAATTACTTACTGTGATAATTGTGACACATTTGTTAAAAATGCACAAAGAGTGCACTGTCTTGTTTTTTAATCATGGCTGTTACCACAGTTTCATGTAGAGTTGATAGTAATTTCCCACTTATAGAATGGCTCTGTATTAGTGTAACTGTATGACATAAATATCCCTTTAGAAGCCAGGATAAAGTTTCCCTTACAGAAAAATTATTTTAACGTTCAAGTATATCTGCTGTCAACACATCTACACATCTTTTCCAAAGTAACATAGTTTGTGGCCTAGCAGCCTGCAATCAAGATGCATTAAATCAGAATTATTTATGCATTGTAACTCACAACCTCCAAGTGGAAAAAGTAATTATAAATGGAAATCTAGAAAATGGGTTGGATAAGTCTAGAAAAATGGGTTGGATCACCCCCATAGTCAGAGCAATTGTAAATTAGCTCTGCTGTAGCCCATTGCCTTCCAAATCGCACAACAAGCTAATTATCCACCTCCTGTGTTCAACCTTAGTGATTCTGATTTTAGAAGAAAATCAGTTGTTCTTGTAGGTTTCCTCTACTAGATAATGTATCTCAAAGTAAGGAGGCATCTAGACAAGAGCTGTCAGATGATCTCTGTGATAAAGTAGAGGAAAGGCACAGAGCAGGGAATGGATATAAAAAGATTTCTAGGCCATAAACATTCATTGGAACACAGTCAAGATCATCTTTAAGAAGTAGAAGGCGAATGGTACCACCAAGACTTGAAGGTTGTCCCTCATAAATGGATGACCTAATAAAGAGAAGACTGATCAGAGAGGTCACCAAGAATCCAATTGCAACTTTTAAGGACTTGCAGGCCTTTATCTCAGAGACTTCTTAGTGTATATATGTCACAACAGTCGTGCAGGCTCTGCAAGTCTGGGTTTTACGAGAAGGTGGTAAGAAGAAAGCCACTACTCAAAAAAAGCCCACATCAAATCTCATTTGAGGTACACAGAACAAGAGTGGAAGTTTTGTTGTCTGATGAAAGCGGGACAGCACTTTTTGACCTAAATGCCAAACGTTACATTTGGTGAATACCCAATACAGCACAT